TACAATTGCACCACGGGCTCGTTGTTTTGTCGGTTGAGATCGGGAATATGATGAATATGTGGGGATCGCCGATCTAGGTGTGGAACAATGTACGTTCCACTAGAAGCAGTATCAGTCTCGGTCCCCATGAGTCTGTCTTAACACCTACTGAAGACGAATGAGGGTAAATAGTGTGGTAGTACCCGCACAAATTCTACTGTCGCTTAAGACTATGCTAGGCGGTGTTCTGACCTGCATTGGAGAAAGCGGCCTACGCCTGAGCCCCTCCGGTAATCTTGACTTTGTCTTGTCACCGGTTCAAGCGGGTTGGGGCTTCAGAGTGCGGTAGACGGTTGCGCGTCTATTTCACTTAAATCTAAGCCCTGACTACTGTTACCCTCCCTGCACCTCACCACATGGTGGACTTCGTCAAAGTTAATGCTCGAAACAGAGGTAGCCCCAAGACAAATTCGAAGGGGGGGGGAGGGAAATATTCCCGTGTCCTAACCCTAACCGTAACCCCCTCATCGTTACCCTAATCCCAACCCTGACCTTATCGTAACCTGTTACGACGAGCTAAAGAGATAGATAGCCTACGCAAGCAGCTGCGCGCACAGCAGGCTATCGATCGGCCTACAGGCACCAAGCACAACTTGCAGTCAAATCAATCGATAATTCGAAATTTAACCTGAATGTCAGCCACCGAGTCCCAGCCAATCACGCCGGACGTAGCTCAAAGTCGTTTGTTGTTCTAATTTTGTGGTACCTGTTATACTCAAGGATTTGCACTGACTTACTGAAACGTGCTTTTCTGATTAAACTCTCTCCTTCTTTTTTTATCTTATGGGCTCTTGGGTTCGGCGTTCGTATTAATTAAAAGTACCAGACGCGGATCATGACATAACCCTACCCCCAAATCCCTTAGAATTTGGCGCAAAATCACTTGTATTCCCGGCCGTACCTGTTCTCGTGTGCCGATGAGGACGGGGGGGCATATAAGCAATTCGCATTTAACATTGAAATTCAATCGCCGTACAATTCTTCAACCTAGTCCGCTGGGTAAAGCGTTCGAACAGAAGGGAAGTGTATTACGACACCGCCTCGATGGTAGTCATTGGAATTTGCACTAATGTCCTAATCAACGACGATAGAAACCACGGAAATACGAGGCCTGCCATTGGACTAACTTTGTGGTGAAATAAAAAAGGCCTTCAAATCTCAGGAGTATTCAGTTGCGGATCAGTACAAAATAGTACAGCAACCAGGCTTGATTGAGGACCGATCTGGCTGGAGCTCAACCCTCACAAGTAGTCCGCAGGCGTAGCGCTGGCTTGTGCATAAATTTGACCACAATGTATAGACACACACACACACACGCACACACACACGCACACACACGCACACACACACACACACACATGTCCTCCACACCAAGCGATATTCGCCCCCATCATATGACCAGGCTACTTTATTTACTCGGTCGTGTGCGTAGGCGGACCTTAGTTACCATTAAAAAAGTCTGTTTAGGAATTGGCACGAACGTTCGCGCTATCGGCCTTTCCAACGTCGGATGAATTCCAAGTTAACTGAAGGCCGCTCACCATTAGCTGGGGGGGGCGGATGTTAGGCAACGCAGTTGCTTGATTTCCGGTGAATTTGCGAGTTTCGCGAAGTTACGTATATTTTTTCATGAGTATTGCGCTTATAGACTGACATTTAGAGTCGTTATTCATTTCGCTTTCTCGCAAATATTCAGCAATTGTCAGATGAGATCCTCCCAGAAATATAAAGAGATTTCGAATACCGGCTTCAGGGAGAACACACACACACAAACACATAACAAGCAGCTCGGGAATCCCATTAGAAAAATGCGAAAAACTGATTGGGCCCGACGGAAAATGAACCCTTAATAACACATTTACAAATGTAAGTGTGCTTCTAAAAAAGTACAAGGGAGGCACGCTGGAATGCAATAAATTTCAAAGGCATTGCCTACTACCCTAAATATACTGAACTATACTGAACTATTTACTGCCTATGGTGACTCAGATGAAAAAAAACTGGTTTTCGAGTAGTTCCGCGCGGGGTCGCCTAAATTAGGTTAAAGATGATCGGGCAAGCAGTTCGCAGTCAGGACAGATACAGAAGCCTCGGCGGGACTCGAACCCACACAGCAGGGAAGGTTTTCTTTGCGGCCAATGCTCGACTCTCACCGAGGCCGCAAAATGTTTACAATTGGGTCAACTGAATTAAGCAAATCTGCCAAACCTTAACAATTAAGTGAGCCTAGTAGTCATTCTGGTGGCTTCTAGATGATTGCTTGGGAAATTGTTAGGACGGCCGAGTCATAACTCGGGCCGTCCTGAGGACACGAAAACAAAGAACTCGAACAGATTACCGGTGCATCAAGAGTGGGCAAAGAGGGTGACCTTCAAGGGGCGACACGCGAACACGAAAGGACAACCGCGGCCGGAGTCTGCCATCCGTGAGGTC